TTCATAGTATAAATACCTGGGTTACAGAACATATTGGACATTCTCCCCTGGGGAATATTCATACCCTTGTGTGTCAATAAACTTCTCTGTTATCTCACCCGTAAAAAATGTCATCATGATTGAATTCCAGGTAACCAAGAAACAAAGGGTGATAGACAATGGGCAGAACACAGTAGATTAAGGGCCAGTTCACACCACAAAAACGTGCTACGAATACGTTTTCACACCACTCTCTGTTCCAGTGCAGTTTTGATGTAGTTTTCTATTAGTGAGGAGCCGAACACCCCCCTCTTCGGTTCACAGTCTAACATCCGAACCTACAGACTGCTTGACCGTGAACTTCGAACACAAAACAATATACTGAGTGGTGTCTTACTGCATCTGAGTATGTGGTAAGAAATCGCTCAGTTACTGAAGTCCGGCATGAGTTCTATTATGAAGTCATGCAGTATTTTAGTAGTGAGACATTCATTCATGTCTCAGCTGTCAGTGAGGTTCCCTGCTGACAGCTGAATGTAAAAATAATTGGCGGCAATGCATGACAGTTAAAATTACAAAAAAAAAACAACACAGCTTGGGGTCCCCCCACATCCATACCAAGCCCTTCGGGTCTGGTATGGATTTTGAAGGGAACCTTCATGCCAAAATTAAAAAAGAAAATGGCATTGGGGTCCCGCCAAAATCCATACCAGACCCTTATCCAAGCATGCAGCCTGGCAGGTCAGGAAAGGGGGCAGAAGAGCGAGCGGCCCCTCCCCCTCTTGAACTATACCAGGCCACATGCCCTCAACATGGGGGGTGGGTGCTTTGGGGTCAGGTCCATGTTCGAGTCGAACACAAGAACGGTCCATGTTCGAGTCAAACTTACGTTCAACTCAAACATGAAGCCCATCCCTATTTTCTATGTTCCAGTATAGTTCTGTGCAGAAAAATGCAGCATGTTCTCCTTTTTTTTTCTGCATCAGAAACTGACTGGGAATGGCTGCACTGGTGTGAACTAGGGCCATTAGAATACATGGAAAACACTGTGCATGCAATTTTGATGAAGAAAAAAAAAACGCACTGGACTGCATCTAGTGTGAACTAGCCCTAAGGCTACATTCACTCTTTGGTGTGTCGGGAACACACAATGAGAGTTTAGCTTCAGCTGCTCTCCAAAATGAAATGCCAGTTTCTGTATCCGTATATTCTGCTAGTGTTTGCTACAACATACAACTAAACAACCTCTGTTGTTTATTACCTCCCAAAATATAACAATGAAACAATCTTCCTTTTGATGAGTGGAGAAAAAATACTGAGATTCAACTGACTTGTATACTCTGAATGTTTCAGTCTGTTTACTTTTTGTAGGTAGGTCACATGAAATTGCTTTCTTTGTTTCTTACTAGTCTTTCAGGATAGATAGCCAGGAAGACACCTGATGAATGTCACCCTTGAAAACAAAGTGACATACAGGTTGTATAACCAGATTGAGTTATTCAGCCTTCCTGCATGTCATACATCCATGCAGTCATGCGTTTTCAAAAATAGACAGGTATGCAGCGCACCCCCACAAGAGACATTAGCTTTATGAGCCCTGTGAAAATGGCTTTTCTTCCAGTTAATCGGTCTGGTGCTTCCACCACTCCGACACACCCCACTTCAATAAGGTGACAACACCAGACTAGATTGACACTAGGTATACAGTTGCAAGGAAAAGTATGTGAACCCCTTGGGATTACGTGGAGTTTTGCATGAATTGGGCATAAAATGTACTCTGAACGTCATCTAAGTCACAACAATAGAAGAACACATTCTGCTGAACATAATACTACACAAACATTAGATGTTGCCACGGTTTAATTGCACATAACATGTAAACATTCACAGTGCAGGGAGGAAAAAGTATGTGAGGCCCTAGCTTAATGACTTCTCCCAGAGCTAATTGGAGCCAGGAGTGAGCCAACTTTGACTCCAATCAGTGTGATGATATTGGATGTGTTGCTGACAGCTGTCCTGCCCTTGAAAAACACACACCTGTTTTGGGTTTACTGGTTTTAAGAAGCACTGTCTGATGTGAACCATGCCTCGCAGAAAAGAGCTCTCAGAAGACCTACGATCAAGAATTGTTGACTTGCATGAAGCTGGAAAGGGTTACAAAAGTATCTCCAAAAGCCTTGATGTTCATGTGTCCATGGTAAGACAGACCGTCTACAAATGGAGAAAGTTTAGCACTGTTGCTACTCTCCCTAGGCATGGTCGTCCTGTAAAAATGACTGCAAGAGCACAGCGCAGAATGCTGCATGAGGTAAAGAAGAATCCCAGAGTGTCAGCTAAAGACCTACAGAAATCTCTGGTACATGCTAACATTTTTGTTGACACATCTACAATAAGGAAAACATTAAACAAGAATGGAGTACATGGGAGGACACCAAGGAGGAAGCCATTGCTGTCCAAAAAGAATATTGCAGCACGTTTGAAGTTTGCAAAAGAGCACCTGGATGTTCCACAGCACTACTGGCAAAATATACTGTGGACAGATGAAACCAAGATTGAGTTGTTTGGGAAGAACACACAACACTATGTGTGGAGAAAAAAAGGCACAGCACACCAACATCAAAACCTCATCCCCACTGTAAAACATGGCGGAGGGAGCATCATGGTTTGGGGCTGCTTTGCTGCCTCAGGGCCTGGGCGGATTGTTGTCATTGATGGGAAAATTAATTCCAGAGTTTATCAAGACATTTTGCAGGAAAACGTACGACCATCTTCCACCAACTGAAGCTCCGCAGAGGATGGGTGATGCAACAGGACAATGACCCAAAGCATACAAGTAATTCAACAAAACAATGGCTGCAACAGCACAGAATAGGCCTTCTGGAGTGGCCCAGTCAGAGTCCTGACCTCAACCCGATTGAAATGCTGTGGCATGACCTTAAGAGAGCGATTCACACCAGACATCCCAAGAATATTGCTACACTGAAACAGTTTTGTGAAGAGGAGTGGTCCAAAATGAGTCCAGATCGTTGTGCAGGTCTGATCTGCAACTACAGGAAACGTTTGGTTGAGGTTATTGCTGCCAAAGGAGGGTCAACCAGTTATTAAGTCCAAAGGTTCACATACTTTTTCCTCCCTGCACTGTGAATGTTTACATGTTATGTGCAATTAAACCATGGCAACATCTAATGTTTGTGTAGTATTATGTTCAGCAGACTGTGTTCTTCTATTGTTGTGACTTAGATGACGTTCAGAGCACATTTTATGCCCAATTCATGCAAAACTCCACATAATCCCAAGGGGTTCACATACCTTTTCTTGCAACTGTATCTGTGCGACATCTGTCATTAGCAAGAGATGATTTTCAAATTTTCAACGACCTGGTCTTTCCCTTCAGGTAGATTTGGTAGGCAGGTTACCCGGGCAGCTTCTTACATACCGCAAAAGGTTGAGATTTCCAGTGGTCAGTGAGTTTGTACTGGCAAGGCAGGCCCAGATTCCTCTGTCCCCTGGATGCAATTTCTAAATCTTTACCCTAAGATCATATTGCTTCTTATTATGCTGTCCTTGGGCATCTGACTCCCGTAGAGCTTTCTCATAGGCTGCCCTCAAATTATTCCTGCCATTCTACATATTCCCTGTGGGATGCTATTGATGTCTGGTTTAATGAGGTGTCAAAGACCAGATAGCCGCCATTCTCTTGCAAATAATAACAGGTACAGGGAAAACCTTGTGGCATGTGGACGTGGCATGGACCATTGCCGCAATGTGTTTACTCCAGTGCTGTTTCTTTTCTGTAGAGAGAGTCCCAAGCATACCTAACAAGGTTCAGCTGAAGCGTTCAGGTCGAGGGTCCCCCTGGTCAAGGAAGTAGGCCTTAGATATCAAATAAATACATAAATATATTGTAATTGCTGCTGTAAACATTATGCTTCAAACCTGGGCCGTGAGCTCCTCAGAACCTTTCTAAGCAGCTAAAACAAGCAAGCTAAGGATATTTTATGACATGACCATTTGGGAACATGTGTCAAAGGTTGCCCTGTACCTTGTTGATTGTCTAGTTATAATGTGACATGTCATACTTGGTCATTTATTCCAAATTAGATATGGTGACAAGCTGCTAGCATCTAACAATGTTGACCAACCACATTTTTGCCTCCTACACAGTATAAATAATCATTGTAAAATAGCAACTGCTGGCCAGTCCTCCCCTGTATGACGTGAATAAACAATTCTTTTGTTCACCTTAAGCGTGTGGTCTGACTGAAATTCCACAACATTGTTAATCAAGATGAAAAGACCCATAAAGGCTGTAGTTTTTACAACCCTTGTTGATTACCACAGTAAACAATTGCGTGATTTGACAAAATAACATGTTTCTAATTATAGTTTGCATTGTCCTTTTGAATAGAGTACAGAAATAGCGTATGAAGAGTCTGCCAATCCTATCAGTCTTCATGGCTTCCGTTTTAACCACTTCCTGTCCCGGACACTTTTACCCCCTTCCTGTCCAGGCCAATTTTCAGCTTTCAGCGCTATCACACTTTGAATGACAATTGCACGGTCATGCAACACTGTACCCATATGAATTTTTTAGAATTTTTTTTAGACAGATAAAGCTTTATTTTGGTGGTATTTATTCACCACTGGGATTTTTATTTTTTTTTTGCTATGTAAATGAAAACGTTCAAAAATTTTGAAAATAAGTGTTTTTCTTATAAAAATTTTGCAAATAAATAATATTTCAACATAAATCTTGGCCAATATTTATTCAGTTAACTTTTTAGTAAAAAAAAATAACCCAAATTAGTTTATAACCAAAAATTATAATTTTTAAACATTTGTTTACGTTTTTATTTTATTTTTTTATATTATTATTTGTTTTTTGTTTTTTTTATTTACATACTGTCACCCTAGCAGTACAGTGTCACCATGGTGACACTGTACTACTTGTGGGGGGTGATGAAGATTTTTTTTTTTTTTTTTTTTTACACTGATTGCTTTTACACTCATAAAGGCTGTAAAAGCAATCATTTCTCCTTCTCTCTGGCTGCATTCCTGCAGCCATTGAGAAATACTGTGTGAGCTGTGATTGGTCACAGCTTGTCACAAGGTACAAGTCTGTTGTGACTAGCCCTGTATCATGTGATCTCTGTGATCATTCACAGATTTCACACGTAGTAAGCAATGATGTCAGAAGTGGCATCTTGCTTACTACTCTGCATGTGATCACTGATTGGCCAATCAGTGATCACATGATCAGAACCACGCACAGAGGTCCTGTCCGACGATCGGTGTTCCACTGTGTCCGAAGGACAGGGAATGCGCACAAGCAGGTGGCGGGGAGGCCGTTTATAAACGGCCACCCGACCCTGCACTGCCACCGTCCGGCCGTTTATATACAACGGCCAGACAGGAAGTGGTTAATGTGTAAATTGACTTGTCACTGCAGACACACTACAAGAGATGGTCAGGAACTGCAGACCTACCACAGGAGATGATGAGAGACTACAGACATAGCACAGGAGCCCATACCACAGCCCACCCAACCCGAGCCTGACAGCCTGCCCCACCCAGTGGGCGATGACGTGGTGGTGTCCACAGCGTGAATGCCTGCCAACCGAGTGTGGAGTGATGCAGCGCCCTGCACACATGACTTTGACAACTATGCTCTGCTGTTGGCCACACATGGCACCAGCGACAAGCAGCACAGCAGGGACACCATGCAGTTGATTTTTGGCAGCATGCCCTGGAGGGGGGTTTGATCCCCCTGACCCCCCCTTATCTACATCCCTGCTTTGGGGGGACAAAGAATGTAATTTGCCAGCAATTTTAACCGTATTTGTTTTTTCTTAATTAAATCTGACTTTTGCTGTACCACATCCTATAGCGAGAATGAAAAACAAATTGTGTAGAGTCCCTCCAAAAATACATACCAAAACCTCTGAGTCTAGTATGGATTTTAAAGGGGTACCTCACACAAAAACAAACAAAAAATGTGTCAGGTCCCCCAGGAAATCCACACCAAACCCTTCATCTGCCCAAACAACCAAAATTGAGTCTAAAATGTTGGCTCTTCCCTGTCCTCTACGGTATGCCAGAGCAATAGTAGATGAGAGTATATTCAGAAATTACTGGTCATTCTCTAAGATCAAGTTGGAGTAAGGTGGACAGATTTTTTTTTTCATATTGCTTTTTTTTTTTTATTGCTGGCTAGATATGATAAAGAGATGAATAGGGAGCGTGATATTAAGAGCCTAATCAACCTTATATATTATGTCAGACAAGTCTACATTAGAGAAATGAGAGGGCAGATTCCCCCGAAATCTTGCATGTTCCTTGTGATCCTATGCAATCCGATGGGGACATGGTTTTGCCCATAGTGGGGTGCCATAATATATGTTTTATGAAGGTCAGGAATAGGAATACTATTGGTGATCCAGGAACAATATTAATGTTTGGTTCTGACATAAGTCTGTATGATTGTTGATGATTACTCACATTTTTGCAGGTCATCTGCTAAATTCGTTACTGATATAACTACAGCCACCATCCACCTGAAAAACCTGTGATAGATAGTCGTGTGATGTTTCTACTAGAATATTAGATACCAATAGCTGGGTATTAGTGGCATGCATAGAGGAATAACCCTCTGTGAATGTAACTATTATTTTTTTTTTCTTTTTCACACTGATGGTCTGATCAGGTCCGCCTGTCAGTTTTTCAGTGAACACTTGTCTGCTGACACCTGCCAGCTTACAATCCGATCCTGTAAGCCACAAACAGACCCCATCTGTCTGGCGGATCAGTTTGGATGACAGTTGGGCGGAAATGTACAGGAGGTCTGTTTCCATCGACCACCCCATAGAAGACAGTGGGCAGTGTCTATGCCCACCCTGCAACAGTGGAGCGGACACAGACCTATCATCTGCCTGCTCAGCAGGGATCAGCGGAAAGATCCCCTGCTGAGCCTTTAACTTGGCTTCTTTGAAAGCCTTTTTAAAGAAGAACCTCACCGTCCCACTATTAATGTTTTTTTTCCTGACTTACCTGATGCTGACCCCCAGCCCCTGTTAACAGACCTCCAATCCCCTTAAGTACCACCCTCTCCCTCCACTGACAGACCCCCAACCCCACCACACACCCGATATTCATGCTACAGCTGCTGTGAAACCCTGTATCCCCTGTGTATACCCACTGTTAATACTGAAGACTTGTGATTGTGTCACCACTCGGCTGTCAAGGTGCCCGAGCTTGTGTTGTGCCTGTGTCTTCGCCAAACATTTGGCATGTAAAGTGTTAAGTGATCGTCTCTGTGTCCCGCCGACCATTCGGCATGTAAGGTATTAACCTAGGAAGTTCATTTACCTCTTCGGGTACAGCTTGGTGCTCGGCTTATTTTGCCTGAATCCGTTGCATGCGCAGTTTCTGCAGAGGATGCAGAACTTTATGCTATACTGGGGGAGGAGACACAGGCATGGCCGCACACAGGGAGGCAAGCGGTGACTGTGGCCCGCGTCAGCCCCATCCAGATCACCGTCCACCTCCCTCCACGCATCCCGATCACCAACAGTCTGTTCCTGCAAGGACATGCAGCCTGGCGGCATCAGCTCACAAGGCAAATGCCCAGTGTGCCCTATGGCCAGTCCAGGCCTGACTCCAGGTAAAAATACTGTTCAAAGAAGCCTAACCTAGTCAAAAGTGTCCTCCTGGTCAGCATGTTTGGAGTATCTGATACCAGCCCAACCCTTCCCCTGTTCTACAAGCAATAAACCTCAAAAAGACATAGCTGAAGTGAATGGACTGTTGTCTGGATGAATGGTGACCTCTGTTATGGAAAGAACCAGTTAAAATCTGTAGCTGCTATGGGGTAGAGCTGCATAAACGTCTGAAAAACAGGAAAACCTTTTATTTTCCAATTTTCTCCCTTTTTTTTCATTTTATCGTGTGTTTTCTTGTTGCTTAAGTTTTTTTGAAGTCAGAAGTTAAAATAACAATTGTTGTACTTTTAATTAATATGCACCTGCTTGTATTTTTTCAATTAGTGTTTTTACTCTCAAATTACAACAAAATACAGAAAAATACACAAAAAAGCAAAGGACATAGGTTTTAGCATTCTCACACAGAGCTCGGATTAGTTTCTTTTTTTTATTTTCTTTGGTAACATATATAACTAGTACGCAGTTTATTAGTGCTTTTTGCTTTATTTTCATGTGTGTGTGTGTTTTTTTTAAATTACTTTTTTTTTATATTTTTATTTAATTGCTTGTTTGTCTATTTATATATTTTTAACAAAATCAAAAATTAACTTTAAAGTAGAACTCTAGGCAAAACTTTTCTTTTCATTATGGACTGAGTAAGGGAGTGTTATAACCCGTCAGATTTTTTTTTTTGCCACCTGTCCCATGGGGAAATTTCCCTTAATTTCTTGTCCCATAGCCAAACAGGAAGAGACAGGAAACCTCTGCAAATTCAGTGAATTCCTTGGGGACCCCCCCAGGTTACCAGAACTAGTGTCCCCATTGGAAGATTTCCCCTCTATTACTTTTCTGGGTACAACCCAAAATTAGGGATTTTCTTTTATTTTCCCTTTCAATGATAATGGTACACAGGACAAATAGAGAGGGGGAGTCTCCCTAATGGGGACACAGACAGCAACAAAAACTTATTTCTAAGTTATCTTATTATTATTGATTTATTTTATTATTATTAATATTATTATCAATATACCTGTAATAAGCTTTGATCTGGCTTCTGAATAGATTACCATCATTTATTACAACATAATTATTTTATTTTTGACAATGTATACTGTAACGGAACAGGACCCCGACTGCACTTGGGTATTTCCGTTATAATACCGCTTCCCTGTCCAAACACCGACCACGGACACCACCGCGGACCATACAAAACTAGACGACACCAGCCTTGAATTAAACCAGGAAACAGACTCCTTTATTTTAACACAGATACAAAATATATACATTCAAGGGAACAATTCCCCCCTCCCTGCATAATGACACAGGGCGGGGAAAACCACATCTAGCAACAAGAGACACATCAGCAGACACACACCCCACCAAGCCAATACACAAACACATACATCCCATAATAGTTTGCTCCCAAACAAGACACACAATAGAACAATGGGATGCAACCACATGGCATTAAACAATCCACAACCCCCCACCCCGCCTATACATGTCTACACAATATTAGGACAGATCATCCTGTATCCCTAACAGGCACAGGGCGACTTACACATAAGAGGGATATGGGGAGCTGAGACAGGGGTTTCCCCACCTCTCCAAAGTGAGCTGGGTTCCATGGGCCCCCCACCTAAAGTGACTCCCGTCACATATACTACCTGCAGAGGTGTGGGGCCGCGATGGAGGTGAAGTTTTTGCCCTCACTCACCAACCTGTTCAAGGGTTGGTGGGAGCAGTCTCACATCTTTGGAAATGGTAATCCTTTCAGAAATCAGATCAAAGCTTATTATAGGTATATTGATGATCTGCTACGTATCTGTGATGGCAAATAATTTCAAGTAGATGCATTCCTAAAATATGTGAACAAAATATGTGGCCGCTGAGCAGGCAGATTGCAGATCTGTGTCCGCTTCACTGCTGCAGAGTGGTCTGTCTTATATGGGGCAGTCGGATGGAAATAGACCACCTGTCTGATTCTACCTGTCATCCGATTCAATCCACCATACGGAAGGGGAACAATCCCCATCCATCTGTTTTTGGAGTACAGAATCGGATGTCAGCTTGTCCGCTTGTTCACTGACACCCACCAGTCCATAGAGGTCTATGGATGGTTTGATCTAGTCCACCTGAAAAACTGACAGGTGGACCCGATCGGACTGTTAGTGTGAAAGAAAAAGAAAAAGAATAGTTGTTACATTCACAGAGGGAATATTCCTCTATACATGCCACTACTACCCAGCTATTGGTATCTAATATTCTAGTACAGTGGTCTCCAAACTGCGGCCCTTTGTTTGCCTTGCCCTTGGGGCACTATTCCTCCCACTGATATGAGGCACCATTCCTTCCACTAACGCCAACATTGGGACATAATTTCTCCCACTGATATAAACTACAGAACACTATTACTTCCACTAACACTAAACATGGTGTACTTTTCCTCCCACTGGGGTACTATTCCTGCCACTGACATCAACAATGGGGCATAATTCCATCCACTGATATAAAATATAGAGCACTATTACTCCTGCTAACACTAAAGATGGGGCACTATTCCTTCCACTGACACCAATTTTGGGGCCTGGTCCTTCCACTGACACCAGTATTGGGGAAAATTTTCTTTCATAGATACCAGTGTTGGGGAACCATT